GATCGAGATCGAGTGTCCATGAAATTTAAAAATATTCATGATAGTTCAAAAAGTGCCCATGAAATACAATCGAGAAATGAAGGCTACGATTTAAATACAATCGATCTTAGCTATCTATTTGTTCACAATCTTCTTGCCCTTCTTTTTCGCAAATGGAGTTCTTCTGTGGAACGGACGTCCTTTAGGTAGGGTGGTCCTGCTTCTTCTTGTGGTGTATGCTGCTACTTCATCATCGTCGTCATGTTCGATCCTCGGGTCGCCGTACTTGTCGAAGTCTTGCTCATTGGCTACTCCATCCATTCCGATGATCTTCCTTTTGCCTCTCCTCACGACAACACGACTGGGCTTTGACGGGTCGGTAATGAAGAAGCATTGGTCCACTTGGGAAGCCAGTACCCATGGCTCATTTTTCACGGTGACGTTTGCGCCCGCGGTCTTGGATTTGGCTTCGGGTATAACCATGGTGGTGAAATACCGGTCTTCTTTTAGGATGCTCTTGGCCCATCTGACACGGAACATCGGGACCTTCTCTCCAGCGTAGCTCAGCTCCCAGATCTCCTCGATCCTTCCGTAGTATCTGTCCTTGTCGTTACCGGTGTAGGATTCCATCGTTACCCCGGAGTTCTGATAACCATCGCTCTTCATGTCCTTGTCCTCGGTGTAGAATGGAGTAACCACGTCTAACTCAAGTTGATCCATCTTGGCTTTCTCTCGGGCGGCAGCTCTTGCGTTATCCGTCTGCTTGAGAAGCAGCTCTTGAATATGAGGGTCCTGCACCCAGCCCATCGATGGTCCAGCGTCGTCTGCTCCGCCGGCATCATCATCTTCATGATCATGCTCGTCGTCTGCTCCGGCATCTTCCTCATCATCATGTCCTGCATCTTCTACATGATGACTGTGTACAGCATCACCGTCATGATCATCTCCTGGGGATTCTTCGTCTTCTCGCCCGCCTGAGCCGCGGTGGTTGTCTTGCTGCCCTTCCTCATTTCTTGCCCGGCCCCCATGGACGACTTCGTAGTCATCTTCATCACCTTGCCACCGATAGCCATCCATGAAACCACGCAAGAGCAGGTGGTCCCGCACCTGCCCGGATTCCGGGTCCGCAATAAGGCTCTTCAGCTTGCATCTTCGACACGGACATCTTATCTCCGTCTCGTTCTTTTGAAGCATCTCGGCCTTCGCGGACCTCAAAAACCTATTCATGATGCCTTCGGTCATCATGCGGACCATGGTCGCCTGCGGGGTAGAGAAAAATGATATTTTAGAACCAAGAAAAAATTCGGCATGACTTTCCCTAAAAATAGGACCAAAAAGAATGCTTAATGCCAAAATTCTCGCCGAAACGGAAATGAATCAACATTCCGGCAAAATATTGGCAACTATCTCATTTCAAATACCGGTACACCTCCAAACACAAACACATATGCAACACCACGAACATACATAGATCTAGCTAGGCCATAAAAAGTGCATGTGCACATTGTTGTAGGGAGAACAACATAAATATAGCTTCCCCCTTACTTACCTATCAAAACAAGGTAATTTAACCACTTAAATTGAATGAATCTATGGTGGAAATGAGGTGAAAAAGAGGAGGCACCCGAGACAAGGAGGAGGTGGAGAGAATGAAGTGGAGAGAAAGTGAGTGTGGGTAGGAGAGGCTGTCCAAAATATCTTGTTGCTGCCCACTTACTAATGGCGCACCAAACCTAAATGCACCATTAGTAATCCAGGTTACTAATGGCGCACCTTCTGGTGGTGCGCCATTAGTAGTTTTGCAAAAAAAAAATACTAATGGCGCACTGTCCCACAGTGCGCCATTACTAGTTTAAACTAGTAATGGCGCACGGTGGAACAGTGCGCCATTAGTAGTTTTGCAAAAAAGGGAATAAAAAATATAATAAAAAACAACATTAGTGGCGCACTTTCCGGCGGGTGCGCCATTACTAGTTACAACTAGTAATGGCGCACTGTGTCTGGATGCGTCATTAGTATGTTTGAACAGGCGCACTAGTTAAAAAAATTGATACTAATGGCGCATCCTGGGCCAGGTGCGCCATTAGTAGTTTCAACTCTAATGGCGTATCAGAAGATGGTGCGCCATTAGTATATACTAATGGCGCACCGCATGTCTGGTGCGCTATTAGTGTCAATCCCATCTATAGCCCTTTTTCTAGTAGTGCTGCATGCAATCAATTCATGCGAGCATTCTTGGAAACACCCTTACCTCTCCAATAGCCAACAATTTCTTTGTGTCCTGCACATTTGTTTCTCTGAGATACTCTGGTCCAAACTTACCCGGATCCCTTTTAGCACAATGGGTCATCAGAAAATGCTATCACCACGAGTCATCCCTAAAAGCATCTTCAACAGATTTTGCGCGCGGCGGTGCGCTGGCTCCGGCGGCCGCCACGAAATAAAGGGCGCCCGAGCCGCTCCAGCAGGCATGCTATATTTCAGTTTTTTTCTTTGATGAACTGCGATTCAATACAGATTTGGTTGTGAGCATACAAATATGGAGATAGTTCGACACATAGCCTGCTTCTACGATACACTTCTACGATACAAAACTACTACTTCTCTTCATTCTTCGACTCGGACTCTGCCTCGGTGATGTCCTCCTCCGACGTCTGAGCGTAGGCGTCAAGGAACCGCTCGTCCCGGGAGTCCCAGGACGATGCATCTCCTAGCGCGATGTTGTATTTAGCGATTGCCTTCCGCGTTCGCTTGTCCTCGCGATAGGTGGCTCGCTCCTTCCTTCTCTCCTCCCTCTTCGCCCTCCTTTAGGCGAAGAACTGTTCCTCGTCGATGATGTCTTGTGCGAAGCGTTGCCTCCACAGCGCCATGCCTTCCTCGTCCATCTAGGCCAGGCTAAGACGGCGCTCCCGCCTCCGGTTTTGCGACGATCCTCGTCGGTGACAAGCCGTGGGAAAGGCGCCAACTCATGTGCCCGCTCCCACGTCGCCATGTCGGTGAAGTTCATGTCCCAGCGGGACCATCGGAGGCGCCACGCCGCAGCGTCGTACGCACGGGCGCCATCCTGGGCGGTGTCAAAAGTTCCGAGGCCGAGGCCCACACCGCCGCCCGACCAAATCGAGGCGGAGTAGGTGCCGGACGGACGCGCGGACGCCGCGGTAGCTCGAACCCTCCCCGGCGGCGAGGCGGCATGGTGGCGCGGTGGTGTCGTGCGCGTTTTTTAGCGCGGCTGTTGGAGATACTCTAACGAGTAAGATTTATTGGCTATCATCACTATGTGTATACCGAACCCAAAACTCCTGACACGCAAATTCTATAACGGTCTTTCTCGACCCTGACTACCGGTACTGGTGGGTGTTTCGGTCTACGACTACCCGTAGTGGTGAGTCCTAACGGGTAATGCATGTAGTTGTCCGCCATCCGCTACAGTGTGCAAAAGAAATGGATTTTTTAAAAGTTTCTTTTAAGTGTTTTTTTAGACAAAGTTTCTTTTAAGTAACAAGAACATTTTATTATTTCAGATTTACGATATTTGATCCACGTGAGCACAAAAGCCCATATAGTACTTAACAGCCCAATCCAGATACGTAATAGAATTGCCCATATACTTGCCAGCCCAACTTAGCAGCCACGTAAGTAAACCAAATCACAGACGCAAATCCCATCGGGAGCAGTTCATCAGGCGGCGGCTCCCTCTCCTCCACGCCCGGCGACGTCCTCTCCTCCGCGTCCGGCGACCCGGTGCTCCGCAACCGAACTGTATGTACACCTATGGTGTTTCCCTCCCTCTTATTACCAGTCAGATTCCATTAATACGGCGGATGCGGACGGTGCCGCGGCAGCCGATCTGCGGATCCTTCTAGTGGCACATCGCATGCACTAAACTAAAATACAGAAATCTAATACTTTCTCTAAATTGCATGCTCGTACAAGACCATGAAATGTGTTAGTACCAAATATATTGTTGTAATTATCTGTTAGGTTGACAAAACAAAACTGAATCCATACTCAATGTGATCAACCTTTTTTTGTTAGATGGTAAGTATTGGATGTAGCAGTATGGGAGTTAGTAATTTGATCTATATAGTGCACCTAGGACCTAGCACCAAGCACTCCATACCTTCAGTTCGGCCACATTGTGTTGAATAGTCACAGTTTCAAATTAAAAGATATTTCAATTTTCAAACATATTGTAACTAGCACTGTTCTGTTGATTTCTATAGGGACCATGGATTCAAAGGCACGGCACAACTGTGTGGATGATGATAAGTACTTGCATCAGGCGCGTCAAGAGATGGACAAGAATATGCAGCGGGAGCAAGAGGTGATGGACAAGAATCTGAAGCAGGAGCGGGCAACCGTGGACCGCATGAGGAAGGAGGAGCGTGCAGCCATGGAACAGATGATGAAAGAGGAGCGTGCAGCCATGGATCAGAGGTTGAAGCATTTCCATGACGATATGGACCTAAGGTTGAAGCAGGAGCGCAAGAACTTGGATCACGCTATGCAGCTCGAGCGTGGCAGGATGGAATTCAATATCATGCAGGCGCGTGCGAACATGGACCTTATGTTGAAGCAGGAGCGTAATGACACGAATCACAAGACCAAGATGGAGGAAATCCGCATGGAAGGGAATATAATGCAAGACCGCATTCTACAACTCGAGCGTGGTAAGATGGGCTTCAATAACATCCAGACGCGTGTGGGCATGGACCTTAACTTACCACATGACCGCAATGATCTGGATTACAAGGCCAAGATGGAGGAGACCCGCATGAAAGGAAATACGATACAGGACCATGCTAATACATGCCTGAAGGTACGTTCCTTTATTTACTAAGATTATTATTCATTATGTTATCCACACACAAGGCAAAAATCAGTTTGTAACCACAGCAGGCTCAGCAGGATGACAAGGCCAAGATGGAGGAGATCCGCATGAAAGGGGGTATGATGCAAGACCATGCTAGTATAGGCACGAAGGTAAATTTCATTATTTACTTATTATTCATTAAATTATCCACACACAAATCAAAATCAATTTATATCAACAGCATGCTCAGGAACAACAAGACATCCCTACACCAGAGCAATATGTCTCATCAGTACCTCTACATGTAGAACAAGAGATCTGTACACCAGAGCAATCTGTCTCATCCTACGTAAGTATGTTTCACAAATGGTATGCACATCCTACGTATGAACACTTTAATATTGTGCAAAAACGGATGTCAACGAGCCGTATGTAGGTAGTTGTAATGCAATTTATTGTTCATGTGGACGAAGAACTTTCTCATGTTCCTGAAGCATACCACAACAAGAAACCTGGTATGATGACAGTACTTGAACCTGCCAAGGTGGACTGGCAGATAATGGTGAAAAATTTGCGTTACCATGGGTACAAAGGGGAAGCAGATTTGTACTACATCAAGCCTGGGTGCGTACCACCAGAAGGAATGGTAAAGATGTCAGGCCAGCATGACGTCGATGAAATGTTGCACACTTTAGAAGGGATAAAGAAATGTCATTTTTACATTGTGAAGAATTGTGCATTCCCAGATTATAGCGACGATGACATGTCTGAACAGGTTGGTTATATTGCCAAGTTCCTACTTATTATTTAAAAAAAGGGCCACATCATTTGCATGTTGACCTAAATACCTTTCGTATGCATATGGGCAGGACATGTCCGAAGAAGACATATATGCATGTGGGTACATGGATATCGGCAAGAGGGACATGGGAGAATATGGGTCATCGCCCAAAAGGAAGAAAATTGCAGATAACAATACGAAGAAAGCATTGGATTTCGGCAGCAGTGATGAGCCTCTTCAGTAGGCTTTTGGTTTTTCTACAATTTCAAGCTTTGGAGCTGAACTATTGTCCCAATTAGTGTTTGCATTATTTTCGATCCAACAATAACTTCATTCAAGTGACAATTGTGAGACTGTTTACAATAATAGGCTTTCAACTTTGAGTTGTTGCTCAACTTTTAGATGAAAGGTTCCTTTGATGCCCGCACACTTAATTGTGGCTTTTACTATTTTTGCATTGCACATGCTGCACTAGTCCAAACCAGTTTTATATTCGTAACATCAATTAAACGACCAGTTTTACTAAGAATGTCACTACATTTTGGATTGATGCAAATTTTCATAGGCACATTTCATGAGACGGGCAACGAGTATTAGCTTAAAATTTTGGTGCAATTTGTCAAAATGCATATTTTCCATCATTAAGCCAGAAATGATCACCTATCAACAAGCTTAGGATAAACCCCAACATGAAGTCTTCAGTGCTCCTTCCGTACAAGCATTTCGGGCGACAACAATGTTCATTCGCATAAAAAATGAGTAGGACGACTCGACCAACTCCAGTTGAAATAGTGCCATGTAAGACCAATTCCACAAATAATGTACAGATGTAGTAGAGCAAGCACAACACAATATCATTAATAAACATATAAATGGGAGTCTTGTTCATGGAACGCGCACATTGGTCGTAATCAGTCATGATACATATGATAGTGTACGTACTCTGATTACGTAGCATCCTAATTAATCCGTCACACTCTACAAGTTTTTTTGCGGGTACACTCTACAAGTTATAACAAAGATAATTACTAGAATTGCAAGTAAGGAAATGCAGCTCTCTTCTCTTCCTTGCTGGAGCCTTTGTCCATCTAAAAGCTCCCACATATCCTTTTTCTTCACATGGCAACCCTGTTTCAGAGAAAGCAGAGGAGGTTTAGGATAGCGGCACACAAATTTAATTGAGAACAAGATAACAAGCTATCACATTTCTCTTTGGGATCAAGAAGCTCTCTTATGAGCACATTTAATTGAGAACAAGATAACAAGCTATCACATTTCTCTTTGGTAGCATATATAATCACAATTTAAATAACTAAAGCTTTCTCTATGTAAAAGAAGTAACTCTAGAAATACTCTAGTGATGCAACATACAACCTAAAAATCATGCATAATTTGTGAAACTTGCACTAAAATGGCAGGTTTGCCAAAAACAGATAGACCGGCCAATTAATTCTGGACAAAGGACCTCCCAGGTTATCATTTGGGAGGGTTGTTTCCATCAGGTGGTCATTGTAATGCTCACATAGGATAGAGGCGGTTGGGCCACTTCGCCACCAACACAACATCACTCTCTTGAGGCTCAGCAGCTGCGTCCATTTTGCCAATGGCCTTGTATAGAGAGTTGTAGCTAACAGTTTGCTGCCATCATTTCGTACACAGCAACAGATATAATTAGTGCACTATAGTAATGAGTAAATCAGATGTAAAATTAAAAGTTAGACATATTTGACACCTCTTTCAATTTATTGCATGTACGCCGATCATGACCTTCCACCCCACAGTAGCCACATTTCCTCTTTGACCTTTGCTTCTTCATCTTTGCCTGCAACCTTTTCTTCGGTGCACCTCGGCCTTGCACATGCACTGGGTCCAGAACCTTTTCCAAATCTCCACAATCAATTTCCGTCGTCTGTGGTAGCACCGGACCAAACCTAATGCATTCCTCCTGACCACGGCTTGATTCCTTGCTGCCAACTTGTTCACTCAGAATCATCTTCAGACGCTGATACTCCTCACTAGATTGACATGCCCGGAAACATGCTACGTGACTCAAATTCCGCAACTCACGGTACCTCACAAGGCTTGCCGAATAGTCGTACATCTCACTCTTTCTGGTCGGAGGGAATGCAGACTTCGCACTCATCGTCCACCTCATGGGAACACAACACCTAGGCAGCACTTCCACTTGACGTATTCCCAAGATGTAGAATATGTGAGAGCATGGTGTTCCCAAGCATTCCAGCTTACGACAAGAACAACTTATCCTATACAAAGAACCTTCCTTCATCTCACAGCGCACTTCAAACTTCTTCTCTCTTCTATCGATCTTAGCCACAACATATGTAGTCAACTCCCATGCATCTAGTATCTCGCTGATAACACATTTGCTGACAGCATTTATGCTCCATCTGACCAACTGAAACATACAAGGCGTGAAAACCCGGACAACATGTTTCTCGAGACTTGAAGCATCAGCGTCTGTAAATGGAATGGACTGCAAGGCCACGATGTCTAGGATCGCCTCGTTCAAGCGTCGTCCCGAAAGGCAACACTCATAGTGCTCTAACATATCAAACAAGGTCATCTTACCCTCAAGATGTGTATGTAGCATGGAGTTTAGGCTCTCACTCCGCTGATTGCTGCTCAATCCTAAGAAACAGCGCCCCACCAGGTATGGAGCACACCACAACTTCCTCATCTGATACATCTGATGCAACCATGACTCCTCACTTGTCACTTCATTCCTTCGTAAGAACTCTATCCATTTTCTCTCATGCTCTTCAATAGAAGACGAGTCATATATGAAAGATCTGAATTCTTCCCTAACCTCATCATCATGCAAATGGCGTACGATGTTCTGCTGAATGTGCCATACGCACAGCCTGTGGTATGAGTCAGGCCACACCATCCTGATCGCTCTTTGCATTGCAAGGTTCCCGTCAGTGATTACAGATATCGGATGCTTCTGCGACATGGCTTCAGAAAATGTCTGCAACATCCACTCGTACACCTCATTAGTTTCATGAGATATTATCCCGCATCCAAAGATAACTGTGCTGCGGTGGTGATTCAACCCGACAAACGGAACAAACGGTAGATTGTACTTATTGGTCCTATATGTGCTATCAAAAACCACAACATCACCGAAAGCCTCGTAGTCAAGGCGGGATTGAGTATCGGACCAGAACAATCCCTTCAGATGCCCATCTTTATCAACCAAGTATTTGAAGAAATAATCTGGGTCTCTCTCTTGCCGCGCCATCATGTGACGGATCACCGTCTGAGCATCACCGGCAGCGACTGTTTCCTGCTTGTAGCGATGACAGAAGTTATAGATGTCCCTCAGCATGCATCCAACATGGTCATATCCACCGGACTGCATGCACAACACATCCATGATTTTGTGTTTCCGGATTCCAACACTTTGCATCTCTATAATGTCCGCTTTCTGCTCGTCACTGATTCTTCTGTGGGAACGCAAAAAAGCAAGCAAGGTCTCGTGGGGCCAAAGGATGGTTGTGTTCATCGATGAAATCCTTCACAAACCAACGCCCTGTTTTCGCGACTCTTGCAATGACAAATTTCGCTTTACACCCCACACGAGTGATATTCCGTGGCTTCCTCTTCCTATCTTCTCTCTTCCTCTTCATGTGCTTCTCTTCACGGCAACCTTCACGACTACAAACAAGTTTCCTCAGAATTATCTTCTCGTTCGCTTCATCCCACTCAACATATCCTTTCCTCACACTAAAGCCTTTCTCAAGAGCATACTTGTTATAGAACTCAAAACCCTCTTCCTCGCTATCAAACATCCTGCTGACAATGTCGTCGTACTCAGCCATACACTTAGCACTTATATCGGCCATATCTTCCTGCATATCACATACAAATTAACAATTGGTCTCAATTATACACCAGAAGTAAAAGAATTTCCCTACTCATATATTCCTCTCAACATAAAAGGTTCAGAATAAGTTAAAAAAAGTGCAACATCTCATGCCTTTTATGATTACAGTATTGTTCATATGAAGAAAGAAAAAGCCGCTGTACAAAATGTCATGATTGAGACACACTCAATAGTCAATAGTCATCTGCAATTACAACTCACTGGCTATGAATACATCAGTTCACGGTAATAGTAAATCATAGAAGAAATCTTAAATGAAATAACAAAACCACTCAATCTACTAGACGTGACAAATACATCTGCAATGCGTGTGACATCTGCTTTATAACTACCGTAAACTGGATCTAATCTTACTGAAACCGCAATGGGTGTGACATCTACTCGATCAGCAATGGGCGTTTGGACCATCGATCAGCATTGCTGACTTGTTGATTTTCAGAAACTAGATGCTTTTTACATCATTAATTCAGAAACTTGTTGATTTTTATATAAGTGATTTCAGAACATAGCGAACAAATTAAGAAACTGCAAAGCGATCAGACCGGTTCCACTGTCACCTACACGCATGGGGAATGTGACTTTGAATGTCTGAATGGAACAAATTCAGACATTCAGTGATGGACGACTATGTGGTTTACTGTGCACATGCAATGCAAACGAGAGAAAAAAGGAAGAATGGCATGAAATACAAAAGTGCAGAACCTGAATATTTTGACGGACGGATATCTTTGAATGTCTGAATTTGTTCCACTGTCGCCTACACGCGTGCGGAATCGTCAGAGGCAGACGGCGGCGCAGGGGGCTGGGAGGGATACTCGTCATGGCAACCAATCATAACACAATAGTTGACATGATATAACAGCTCATAATTGTCGATGGTTGGTCATGTTCTAAGAGAACTATTTGGCTGCAACATATCTTCAGAAGTGAATTAATAATATGGTGTACAATTAAGCTAATTATTCTAGTCAACTAGTCACATAATCTTTTTACCATCAGAATCAATGATAAGACACATTCAGTGCGGTTGGAACATGTTTACGATAAATTACCTTTAAAACAAGCTCAGAGTATCCAATATCAGAATCCAGTGTAGTCGGAGTATAAGGCTTGACTACTTCCTCACCAGTAGCATCCTTCCCTCTACAGTCAGTTAACAAAATACAAAAAATAGAATCAGAATATTTGTCTCACTCCATGTACCAAAAAGAATGACCATAACTCAACATCATAACTGTTGACCAAGATATGAGCAGTACAAGTGTTCAGACCTGCATCTTATATATTGGCCAATTGCATGGCCCAACACAGAAGTAGGCCTAGGGAAACAAATTTGA